TTCTTTATAAAAATTTGTAGATTTTAATTATATGCTTGCAGTTATTATTCTTATAGACGGAGAGACTACAATAACAGAATATTTGTACAAAATAGTACAAAGTAACAGTAAATCAATGAATATTAAAGAAAAGAAACTATTATACTAAATTAAAAAATAATTAAATTAAAAATATAGTATCAAAATGATACTGTATTTAATTATCTAATAAAACATAAGTCTTTTTATTCCCATTGAAAATTCATTCTACTCCAACCAAGTGTGGTAGTAGCCTTCAGTTATTTTTCAAAAAAATAATTATATCATAAAATTATATTATTTTACTCAATCCAAGTGACATGTATATTATTTGTATATAAGATTTAATATCAATCTGGCGTCAAATTATAATTCTATTATATTATTTAACTTTAAGCCCAAGTATTCTCGAACTTCTATATTAGAATAATTCTATTTTAATTCAAGTGATTGTATCTTTTTGTTTAAATTCAAGATTCGAAAGTATTTAACATAAAATACTTAGCGCTGCTTGAGCAATACATCCATTAAATTCTATTTCTAATGATTCAAATTACACAAATTTTAATCTTTAGGCACTTATCGAATAATTAAAATATACAATTTTTGTAATAAAAGCTATAAGTAAAAGCTGCATAACGAAATAAAATACATTTACGAATTTGAGATACGTTTTCTTCAAAATATAAATAGCTTAGTAAGCAAACAACATTTTGAAACATTTGAGCAACATTGTAGTAACATTCGATATTGTTACAATGTTGCTAAAATGTTTTAAAATATTTTTTATTTACTGCAATATTTATATTTTGAAAAAAGCATATATTAAATTTGTGCCAATGTGTGTATATCTTATTTCGTAATTATAATTTCTATCACAGAAATTATATTTTGGCTATTCGAGTACAAGTATATATATATATTTTTTTTTGGGAGTTATATATATTTTTTATCAGTAATATATATTTTTGGGATCTTATATATATTTTTGAATCAAATAATATCACATTTTATTATCACATTTTTGAAGAATCCTCGTTAATTTTTATCAAAATATGTTAAAATGGGTAGTTACAGATTTATTTTATTTATCCTATTTCGTGCCATTTGAACTTGACAGTAAATATCACATTAATCATGTAAACAGCAATATATTAATGTGATATGTAATATATGACATGACACAAAAACGAAAATGATAATCACAGAAATCGATTTAATTATTCTTTATAATAGACTTCTTAATAGACTTCTTAAAATCTTTCTTGATAAATCTAAATAAAAAAATATACGTTTATTTAATATACAAGCAATCACAGAATTATAAATGTGCAAAGCTCTAAATTGAAAAAATTTTAGAAACATTTAAGAAGAAATAAAAATAATTCAAATTTTTATATATTATATTATTAATCCTTATATTAATCTTTCATAATCTTTAGAGATTTCGTAATACATGAACAAAATATCTTTAAAATTATTACATTTTATTATATATTTATAAATATATACATAATTCTCTTGAAATCTTTCTTGAAATTTGTAACAAAAATATCTGTAGCATGATTGTGGCTATTTGTTTGTTAATATTAAGGTGTTTTATTTATTGTTTTTTTTTATATTAGTTAATAGTTTCTAGTTTCTATTCAATTTTATTGTGTATGTACTTATAGTTGACCTATTATTGCGTTGAATTAAATATTGTACTAAAAGTCACAAAAAAATCTCAAAAGATTTCATTTGATAAAAAATTACAAAATAATTATTTTGATTGCTTTGGAATAATCGTAGTATTTAATTTTTTATTGGATTTTGAAAATAAAAGCTCTTTAAAAAAGTTATAAATGGCTAATGAACAAACTACGAACATTTTTATTCTATTATCTTCAAATAACGATAATATACAATAATATGTAATAGATATAATGTTTTTTTTTTAGATTATATTGTATGACGCAGTTATATTCATTTAAATTGATTTTTGTGACTGCAAAATTTAAACTTTAGACGCATCTTATCGCAAATAAAATGCTAGAGAGATTGATTTTAATTATGCAACGTTTTGCGCTATTTGTTCTAGAAGAACATGAAATTTTTAATTTTGCCTGAACTCTAATTCAAATTATATTATCTCCTTTTATTTATTTTGTTTTGAGCAAGGAAATTGACGTAGACATTATTATGGAAAGGCGAGAGATCAAGGTGGTATTTCTTTCTTATCTCTTATATTAGTAATAACGAAAATAGCTTGGAGGTAATACTTCGCTGACAAACAGCAATTAAAAACGCGTATGTAAATTCTTTATACTTTGTTTTTTGTATTAATTGTTTTCTTGCATCTTGCTGACGCGCGCATACGTTACGAAAATGTGCGCGTGATATTAAAACAAACAGAAAGAAATTGACCTAATTTCGCATGGACACGATTACAGGCTTATAAATATCTTTTCAATTTTTGAAAAAGAAAAATAAGTAATATTCGTAAAATTAGTTATCGTTATCGTTTTTTCTCGTTTATCTCGTTCTTTTTGTTAGATTTCGAAACAAGTTTCAATTGATTATTCTTCAAATTTGCGAATTTGAAAAAACTGCTTGTCTTTTTACCCAGATATAACGAAGTTGAATATAATATTATTCATGTAATATTAAATGTATTTTTTCAAATTATTGCGAATTTTATTTTTTATTTGAGCAAGGAATTGCATTTATAATTGCATCTTCACACACATCATTAGAAATGAATTATGCAAAAACGAAAAAAAAACGAAAAATAAAAATAAAAGTAAACTTGTACACTTCATTTAATGATAAATGAAAGTATAAATGTAATTACTAGTTATTATATAATATTGCAGATATCGGTAGTCCCCTCATTATATTTCAAGATTTTCCATAATTTATTTTTGAAATCGTTTTTTACATATCTTCAACAATAATCTTCGATATCTTTGCAAATAAACTTTTTGAAATCCTTGCATTTTTGTCGTATATCCCATATAGATGGAATATATGGCTACTCATAAGAGGAGGGGGGCTATGCACGGCTCATGAAAAATTTACAAATAATGCATATATAAATAAGACATAAAATGATACATAACTTATAAAATATGTTTATAAAATGTTATAGAATAAAAATGTATAGGTAAATATGTATAGAAAATAATAAATAATAATTACAATCTTCCTACATATATTACAAGTGTTATGACATGAGATACATATTTCATATAATTTACTGCATTTACTGCATTTAGTGCATTGAATTCTGCGCACTTTGTATACTTTGGGCATAAATCCCACTAAAAATGCTGTATATCCCAAACAGGGATTTACAAGACAACAAACTAAACAAAGAATATGAAAGCAAAACACTTGTATTTTGCTATACAACATGTTTTATTATTTCACTACATGTATACATCACGAAATAACCACTGAGTCTTTTACACGTCTTACAGTAACCATTTTATGTGTAGATTATAATTTATAATGATGTTATTATAGTGACAAATCGATTCAACTCATAATAATTTCATTCATATTAAATAAGAAGCTGATAGAAGCTGATAGAAGAAGAAATCATAACACAATACTAACATAACATAAAGGCATGTAACACAGTAGGAGAATTACCTCCACTCCTTCTATTTTTTCTGAAATAAAACTTCTGCGGCATAAATCCCAGCACGGCGAAGTTATCCTAACATAATCTGTTCTTCATACATACATCAAACGATCAGACATCTGATAATACATTGCGTTTTATTAAATACTGTTTTTTGATTATATATGCGTCAAACATTTACTGAATTTTTTAAAATTAAATGTTTTAATAATAATTAAATGTTTTAATAATTATAATGTTTACAATAAAATTTTGTTTTTGTACATTTATAATTATATTTATTATAAATATTA